ATCTGTGGAGAAGGGTATTTTAAAAAGGATATCTCTTTTTCCATCTTGTTTCCGGGAAATTAAAATTAGTTTCCTTTTTGGGTTGTTCGTAACCCACTTAAGCGAGTAATGACCAATAAAAAGATCTGCAGTTTTTTGTTTTGTTTTTTTTATCTTTGTATCTACAAATGACTGTTATTACCAGCATGAAGTGCAAAAGTATTAACTTCCCCGGTACTATTAAAAAACCCCTACCAAAGCCTTCATTACATGCCATTTAAGTATTTTAAAGTTTCCTTGTTTTATTACAGGATTTGTTCGAGCTCCCTGTCATGTTTTTCCATCGTTAAATAAAGAAACAATCATTAAAAAAAGTTTTCAGTTTTTTTCACGAAATTTTTATGCTGGCATTATCATTAAATAGATGTTAAACAGCAGATAGTCTCGAGAGATGTTGTACACGTGAGACTAATTTCATTAAGTGGCAGAAATTTTCCACAAACTTTTAACTATAAAAGTAAGAGAAAGGTACCCTAAAAGTAGGCAATAGGCTTTAAAATAAAAATGATTTAAAAATACACAAAATTACTATTTTTGATATGGATCCGAAATTACCATCGCTATTTTTTGGTTATGTATGGTATCTACAGGTTTCGATTGTTTGGTGACCCATAGTGAAATTTGATGGAGAATATTTCGTACATTGTCATCAATGCCATAAAATGTAGTTGTAATAGATTTTTCAGCCATGAATTAAAAAATGCCCAAAGAAATTTAATTCTAAAATTCAGTGTTTATTTACCTCCAATGAAGTCGAATTTCCTGGTTATACACTAAGCATAGAGATTTGATTTCTTCTAATACCTCTCATGAAATTCGATATAGAATATTTCATCCATTGCCAACAACTATCAAAAATGAAGTGTTGCTAGACTTTCGGGCAGGAATACAAAATACCCCAAAAATCTCTCCATTTAATACTTTTTTATTGTTTTACCCGATTTTTAGTGAATTTTCCCGGATAAATACGAGGAGTATAGTTTTGATTTCTTCGGTGACTTTTTGTAAAATTCGATATAGAATATTTTTTCCATTGACATGAAACCCTTAAATTCGAGATTTGTGGGAATTTTTAATAGATTTATAAAAACACCAAGAAAGAATTACTTATATTGGGAAATGTGGCGTATGAGTGTTGATGTGCATCATACGTACCAGATGACTTTGCTCAATCATGCTCCCAATGCATTGTTTTTTGTTTTCTAAATTACATTTGAAGAATATCGAATCCGTAAAATGGGATTGTGTGGGATTTTTGCTCGAAGTTAAAAAAAATGTAAAATTCGAAAAAAAAACTTATTTTCTCATATGATTTTAAATGTTAACAGATTTTTCTTTAATTTATAGAATATTTAGAGATTTTAGTTGGCTGGGGACCCACAGTGGAATTCGATGAAGAGAATTTTCATCTTTGAAAACTATACCATCAAAGGAAGAGCTAGTAGATTTTTGAGCCAATATTTGAAAAAACTACAAAATTATCCAAAAATACGTTTTTTACATATACATCCCAATTCAGGGCGTTATCTCGGGGATTTTTGTGGTATATGGAGGTTTCAGTTGGTCGAGGACCCATAGTGAAATTGGACTGGGAATCTTTTTTTCTATTGTCATCAAAACAATAAATGAAGTGGTGTGGATTTTTTAGACCGAAATTGGAAAAAAGTGCAAAATGACCCACAAATATCTTATTTTACATAAATCTAAATTCGAACCGGCACTTCGAGACTATGTATAATATTTAGAGGTTACTATCCGTTGGGGACTCATATTCAAATTCGATGAGGAATATTTTTTTCATTGGTAGCTATTCCATAAAATGAAATGGTGGTGCATTTTTGGCCCATATTTGAAAAAAAGGACAAAATAACCCAAAAATAAATTGTTTGACATAGATCCGAATTTAGGCCTATATTACGGTTATTGGTATAGTATTTAGAGGTTACAATTGGTCGCCGACCCGTAGTGAAATTTGATGAGGATCATTTTATCCTTTAGTTGTTATTTCAAAAAATGAAGTGGCGATGCATTTTTGGTCGTTGATTTAAAAAAAGGAAAAATTACCCAAAAATACGTTTTTTCAGATAGATCCAAATTCGGGCCGGTATTACAGGCTTTGGTATATTATTTAGAGGTTACAATTTGTCGGAGACCCGTAGAGGAATTCGATGAGGAACATTTTTTTCATTGGTAACTATTCTATAAAATGAGGTAGTGTTGGATTTTTGGCCGATATTTTAAAAAAAGGACAAAATTACACAAAAATACTCTTTATTCAAATAGATTCGAACTCGGGCCGTTATTACGTGATTTGGTATAGTATTTAGAGGATACAATTGGTCGGGGACCCGTAGTGAAATTCGATGGGGAACATTTTTTCTATTACGATTAAACCCAAAAAGTTGAGTCGTGATGGATTTTTGGCCAATATTTGAAAAAAGTGCAGAATAAACCAAAAATACCTATTTTTTAAATAGTTCCAAATTCGAACCACTTTTCCGACGTGATATATAGTAGATAGAGGTTGGAGTTGGTTGGGTACCCATAGTAAAATTCGATGGGGAATATTTTTGTCATTGACATTAACTTCATAAAATGAAGTTGTTGTATATTTTTTGGGACGAAATTTGAAAAAAAGTGCAGAATAACTCAAAAATAAGTATTTTTACAAATAGTTGCAAATTTGAATCGGGTTTTCGAGGTGATGTATAGTAGATAGAGGTTGGATTTTGTTGGGAACCCATAGTGAAATTTGATGAGGAACATTTTTTCCATTGGCATTAAGTCCATAAAATGAAGCTGTGATGGATTTTGGGCCGAAATTGGGAAAAAGTGTCAAATATCAAAAAATATCTATTTTTTTGTTTAGTTCCAAATTCGGATCGGGGTTTCGAGGTAATGTATTATATTTAAAGGTAGGAATTGGTTGGGAAATTCGATGAGGAACATTTTTTTCATTGATAGCAATTCCAAAAAGAAAAGTTACGATGGATTTTTTGGCCGGAAATTGGAAAAAGTGCAGAATAACTGAAAAATATATATTTTTATACAATTAAAATTCGAACCGATTTTTATAGTAGATAGATGTTGGAGTAGTAGATAGATTGTGGAGTTTGTTTGGGACCTATTGTGAAATTGAGGATCATTTTTTCCATTGGCATCAAGTCCATAAAATTAAGCTGTAATGAATTTTTGGCCAAAATTGGGAAAAACTGCCAAATATAAAAAATATCAACTTTTTGCATAATTCCAAATTCGAACCGGTTTTCCGACGTGATATATTTTTATACAGTTTAAAATTTTGAATTTTTGTCATTGACATTAACTTCATAAAATGAAGTTGTTGTATATTTTTTGATGAAATTTGAAAAAAGTGCAAAATAACTCAAAAATAAGACATTTCACTTGGTTGAGGATCCATAGTAAAATTCGATGAGGAACACTTTTTCCATCGGCATCAAAACCATAAATAGAAATGGTGATGCATTTTTTGGATCGAAATTGGAAAATTACGCAAAAATATCTATTTTTATATAAATCTAAATTCGAACCGATATTATGAGGTTATATGTAGTATCCAGAGGTTTCAATTGGTTGGAGACCTACAGTAAAATTTGACGAGGAATATTTTTTCCATTCACATCAAGTTCATAAAATAAGGCTGTGATGGATTTTTTGGGTCGAAATTGGAAAATGGGCAAAATTACCCAAATATATCAATTTTTATATAGTTCCAAATTCGAATCGGTTTTTCGAAGTGATTTATAGTAGAAAGGCATTTCATTTGGTTGAGGACCCATAGTGAAATTCGATGGGGAATATTGTTTCCATTGTCATCGAGTCCATAAAATAAAGCTGTGGTGTATTTTTTGGGTCAAAATTGAAAAAAAGTGCAGCATAACCCATAAATATATATATTTATATATATTCGAACCGTTTTTTCGAGGTGATGTATAGAATATAGAGGTTTCAAATGGTTGAGAACCCATAGCGAAATTTGATGAGGATAATTTTTTCCATTGGCATCAAAAACATTAAATGAACAGGTGATGGGTTTTTTTTGGGCTAAAATGGCAAAATTACCAAAATATATATTTTTTATAAAGATCCAATTTCGAACATATTTTTCGAGGTGATGTATAGCAGATAGAGGTTTCATTTGCTAGGGGACCCGTAGTGAAATTTGATGATGAATATTTTTTCCATTAGCATCAAACCCATAAAATGAGGTTGTGATGGATTTATTGATCGAAATTGAAATAAATTCGTGAAATTGCCCAAAAATTGCTACTTTTATATAGTTCCAAATTCAAACCGGGTTTTCGAGGTGATGTATATTTGATAGAGGTTTCAAGTGGATGGAGACCCATAATGAAATTCGATGAGGATTATTGTTTACATTGGCATCAAGAACATAAAATGAAGAAATCAGGATTTTTTGGCTAATATTTGAAAAAAATGTAGAATTACCCAAAAGTATCTATTTTGGTACAGTTCCAAATTCGAACCGGTTTTTCGAGGTGATGTATAGTAGATAGAGGTTTTATTTGCATGGTGACCCATAGTGAAATTGAATGAGGAAAATTTTTTCCTCTAGTAGCTATCCTGTATAACTAATACATGGGGTTCTAATGGGGATTTATTAAAAAAATAATCTGAAAAATATTTAAAAAAATATTTACATGAAATTTTATTCAAATATAAATTTATACATCTTATATATATATATATATATATACAATAAACTAAATTTATATTTATATTACGAACAAAACAAAAACAACAAATTTTAACTAATTTGTGTAAAATATTTTTTTAATTTTTACCACTTACCCCTTAGAAATATTTTTTCTTAAAAATATTTTCTATAAAATTGTTATTATTTTTATATATAAAAAACAGTCACTAGATTTTGCTTATAATAAAAATAATTTTTTTTCCTCTTATTACTTAAAAAAATCTTATTTATGAAATACTATTTTCAGCAGACGTATTACCGGTGCCTCAAAGGCCACCGATATAAAGAACGCGGCAATAAAAGAGACAACAGCATTACCAAAAAAGATGACGGTAATAAAATAGGGATTTAAATGTATGGTACCATCCATTTGATAGCCGGTAATTAGCATTATAACGGGATGTATCAAATAGGCACAATAGGTGAGGCGGGACAATGGCCAAAGGCAGCGGTAGGAGAGTATGCGATTCATGGTGGGTGATAAATTCCAACAGCAGGATAAGACAATCCAGATGAGAGCGGCACCAAAACCTGGAAGGAAATAAAAACAAAACATGTCAAACCTTGCTCCTCCCCTGCTTCTTCTTTTTCTTTCTTTTTTTCCAACTCACCTGTATGGGCAATGCTAACATAAAAAGCCGTCGAGACTTCGTCAAGTTCACCCTGCCAAACACCACAAATTATGAGTATTAATAAACCCAAACTCACCGACCATAACAAGGCATTCAGGCGTCCCGAAACTTTGGGTGCTGTACGCACTTTGCTCATAATATAACCGGTTAGCATACCTTACGAACAAAGAGCAAAAGGGAGAAGGAGAAAAAAGCCAAAAATTAAACATAAAACCATTAACAATGGTGTATCCAAAAATAAACAGGCTAAACTTACCCATAATATAAGGACCAACCCGTTGCCAGGGTTTATCATACAAAAAGTCAAAGGATTCAAAGGGATTGGATACCTTGTGGGTATAGTGGTGGCGTAGGGAGATTACACCCGACACTCCCCAAGATGAGGCCAAAAATGTGGCCAGTGTTAATATAACGGCCTTGGAATATCTGTGGAGAACAACATCATTAGAGGTTACTTATAAAAGGTATATCCCCCTTCCTCAGCTCACCTTGTCGAAAACATCAGCAAAATGGAGGCCATAATAAAAAATTGCATATCATTTGCCATATACCAACTCCAAATCATGCAGATCTCACTCAGCGGATAGAAATTGTTGATAAACAGAATGTTGCGCCACCAATATTTGCCACAAGTGTTGGGCGGCACGGTTGGCTGGAACACCGAGTTATCAAATGTTTGCCTGGAAATCAGAGAAAGATGAGAAAAAAGTCGAAGGAAAAAAATATGAAAAATATAATCTGAAAGGTAACAAATTGTGTGTGTTGTGTTTTTTTGTGTGTATGGCTTAGATAAAAAACAATAAATTTTGTCAATCAATGATTGATGGTTTCGATTGATTTTTTTATTTGCTTTTGATTTGAGGTTTATTAAAAATGATTGATGGCTACATTTTTCTATTCAACAAATTCCCTTTTAATTTGTGACAAAAGAAAATCGGGAGAATGATTAATTTAGGTGAAAGAAGGGGAACATGATTAGGCATGCCACAAAAAAGCAAAAAAAAAATAATTTTTAAAACCTTTAAAATCTCACAAAAATATTGAATTAATAAACATTTTTCAATTATGGGATACCTACACGTATGAGTGTGGTTGTTAATCATACGCTCCATGAGACTTTGTTTAAACATGCTCAAAATGCAATATTTGTCGATTACGGAGGATGTGGAAATATCACACAAATATATAATTTTGATGTATCTGCATTTCCTAGTCAATTTTTTCGAATTGTAATTCTTCGAAAAACAACCTCTCTTTATATACCGAACTTGAAACCGATTTTTCACGGATATCTGTTATAGCTACAGATTTCTTTACTTCCGTGAGTAGTAAGGAAATTTAATGTAGAATATTTTTTTCATTGACAACAAGCTCCAAAAATTAAGTTTTGTTGGACTATCGATAAGGTTTTCAAAAATACCGGGGAATTTTCAATTCAATAATTAAAATTTATGTTGTTCTATTTACAGTGCGGATTTTTCGTAGATGTACTAATCCGACAGATTCCTTTTCTTCGCAAACCCATAGTAGAATTGGATGAAGAACATTTTTTCCATTGACAACAACCACCTAAAATGCAGTGTTGCCAGACTTTCGGGACAAAAATACATAATGCTAAAGTTCTAAAAACTTTACACACTTTTTTAATATTTTCCGAATTATTTACGATTTTGTCGGATATATATTATATATACAGATTTCGTTTCTTCTGAAACCCATAGCAGAATTTTATGGAGAATAGTTTTTTCATTGACATCAACCACCAAAACCAAGTGTTGCCAGACTTTCAGGCAAAAAACCAAAATACGCAAAAATTTCCCAATGTACCACATTTTATTTGTTTCCATTACCAGGCGTATTTTCCCGTAGATATACTAATCGGACAGCTATAGTTTCTTCGGAGACCCATAGTAGAATTTGATGAAGAATAATTCTTTCACTGACGTCAACCATCAAAAATAAAGTGTTGCCAGGCTTTCGGGCAAATACACATAATGCTAGAGCTCTCAAAAATGTTCTCTCATTTTTTGTTATTTCCGATTTATTTTCGATTTCATCGGGTATACATTATATATACAGATTTCATCACTAGAGTAACCTATAGTGGAATTTTATGGAGAATATTTTTTCCATTAACATCAAGCTCCAAAAACGAAGTGTTGCCAGACTTTCAGGCAAAAACCAAAGTACGCAAAATTTTCCCAAAGTAGTATATTTTACTTGGCTCCATAAGCAGTCGTATTTTCCCGTAGATATACTAATCCGACAGCTTTCGTTTCTTCGGAGACCCATAGTAGAATTTAATGGAAAATAATTTTTTCATTGACAAAAACCACAAAAAATGAAGTGTTGCCAGACTTTCGGGTAGTTATACAAAATGCTAAAGTTCTAAAAATGTTAAATATTTTTTTAATATTATCCGATTTATTTAAGATTTTGTTGGATACATATTATATATACTAATTTCATTTCTTCGGAGGTCCATAGTATAATTTGATGGAGAATAATTTTCTCATTGACAACCGCCACCAAAAACGAAGTGTTGCCAGACTTTCAGGCAAAAAACCAAAATACGCAAAATTTTCCCAAAGTAGTATATTTTACTTGGCTCCATTAGCAAGCGTAATTTCCAGTAGATATACTAATCCGACAGTTTTCGTTTCTTCGGAGAACCATAGTATAATTAGATGGAGAATAATTTTCCCATTGACATCAACAATCAAAATTAAAGTGTTGCCAGACTTTCAGGCAAAAATACAAACTACCGAAGTTGTCAAAATTGTACATATTTTGTTCAACATTTTACGACTTACTTACGATTTTTTCGGATATATATTATATATTCAGATTTATTTACTGAGGTGACCTATTGTGAAATTTTATGTAGAATATTTTTTCCATTGACAACAACCACCGAAAATGAAGAGTTACCAGACTTTCAGCAAAAAACCAAAATTCGCAAAATTTTCCTAAATTACTATATTTTATTTGGGTTCATTAGCAGGCGTATTTTCCCGTAGATATACTAATCCGACAGTTTTCGTTTCTTCGGAAACCCATAGTAGAATTTGATGGAGAATATTTTTCCCATTGACATCAACAATCAACATTAAAGTGTTGCCAGACTTTCAGGCAAAAATGCAAACTACCGAAGTTGTCAAAATTGTACATATTTTGTTCAAGATTTTACGACTTACTTACGATTTTGTCGGATATATATTATATATCCGGTTTTATTTACTGAGGTGACCTATAGTGAAATTTTATGTAGAATATTTTTTCCATTGACAGCAACCACCAGAAATAAAGTGTTGCCAGACTTTCGGGCAAAAACTCAAAATACGCAAAATTTTCCCAATTTCCTGTATTCTAATTGTCTCAATTACTAGGCCATTTTCCCGCATATATACTATGAGGACAGATTTAATTTCTTCGGTGACCCATAGTAAAATTTGATATAGAATTATTTTCCCATTGACACAAACCACCAAAAATGAAGTGTTGCCAGATTTTTGGGCCAACAACAAAGGTACTCAAAAATGCCACTGTAAGAAATTACATTTATTATTTATATTTAACCTTTACCGATATTTTGCGGAATTTCTTAAACATTTTGATTTGGATTCTATGAAGGCCCGTAGTCAAATTTGATCAAGTATATTTTGTTCATTGACATCGTACCTCTAAATTGAAGATTTATTGGATTTTTGGTCCAAATTTCAAAATACCCATAAAATGTGCAAATTTACTAAATAAATCTACTATATATAAATCCCTACTAATATTTAACAGATATAAAGCATTTTTTCGTATAAATTGTGACCGGTGACCCTTAATAGAATTTCGTGAAGAACATTTTTTTCATTGACATCTAATACCTACAATACAGAGTTGCCAGACTTTTGGGCGGGAAACAAATATACAAAAAACTTTATTAAATATGTTCCTTTTATGTGACTATCTTTACAGCCAAATTTCGCAGATTTATGTTTTATATACGGATTCGGTTTCTTCGTGGACTATTAGTGAAATTCGGTGCTAAATATTATTATCTTTGATATCAAAGCCCTAACATCAGTTTTTGGGGGACTTACGGAGTTAATTTCGAAATTACCTAACAAATTATAAATTGACTAAATAAATCCACTTTATCTATTTTCCTACTAATATTTTATAGCTATAAAATAATTTTTTCGTATATCTTTTGTTTTGGTGACCCATAGTAGAATTTGATGGAGAATATTTTTTCCATTGACATCATGTAACTAAAATGAAGTGTTGCCAGACTTTTGTGACAAACATAAAACTACACAAAATTTTAATAATTATTTTACTTTTTTGTGACTATTTTCACAGCGGGTTTTCCCGAGGATATATTATATATACTCAATCGGTTTCTTCGGAGGATTGCAGTGAAATTTGATGGAGAATATTTTTCCTATTGACTTTGAACCTCTAAAATAAATTTTTGTGGGCCTAACGGACATTTTTTAAAGTTACTCAAAAAAATTAAATTGTACCAAATAAATCAACTATATCTAAATTAATATCAATATTTCCTAGCTATAAATTATTTTTGCATAGATCTTATGTTCTGGGACCCATAGTGAAATTTAATGGTGAATATGTTTTCCATTGACACCAAACCTCTAGGTAGTCGTTTTATAGGACATTTCACCGTAATTTCAAAGTGCCAAAAATATATTCCAAAATTTTCACATTGAATAAAGTCATTGGGAGCGTATGATTATTGTCGGTCAGCATACGCACCAGGTGACTTTGCTTAAATTCTGGGCCAACAAATAGAATGGTGTTCTAAAATATTTTATGATTTTTTTTATGAATTTCAATTCGACTCACCTCGTTGCAAAATCATTGAAAAATATCACAAATAAATATGTGGGCGTCAGACGTATATATCGGTAAATAATCACAATTGATGTGTCCACAAACCCCTTCTTCATAAATTGCGAAGTGCGATCGGCTACCTTTCGCTCCTGTTTCAAATACAGCAGGGTCACCAAAAATCCACTAATGAAGAAGAATGTATCAACGGAAAATGTGGCATTACCAACAAATTGATACCATATGGTGCGTTCGGTTATGATGCGGGTGAACTGAAAGTGTAAGGGAGAAAAAAATTCTAAAATGAAATCAGGATCGTAGAAATTATTTAAAAAAATAATAATTATAATTTTTTCTCTTTAAATTATTAAATATAAAATATTATTAAACTAAAAAATATCCGGAAAAAAATCAATATTTCATAACAGCAACTGGTGGCGTATGATTGACGACAGCACTTATACGCCACCATATGTAAAGCTTTATATTTTGCCTCCTTTTCCTCTCTGATTGAATCTTTTTCATGCTTTTCCATATGGAAGAATGAAAGTTTATCATTCACACAACATCCCTAATAGTCCGTTATCTCATGCCGGAAATGCAAACATGTCCTTATATTTCCGGCTTAAAGTTGTACTTCTAACAACTTCTTTTTTTTTGTAAAAATAACAATCATGCAGAAAAATAAATAAAAATAAAATACAATAGTCGAACATTGTCATTTACATATTTACCCGATTTTCTCCAATATTGAATATTTGCAGATATGTATGTACCATTATTGTCCAGAGTACGGATATGACGCGCAAGCCATGTACACAGGATGTTTGGGACTGTAACGAAAAAGAATGGAAGAAAGACAGACAGAATGAAAGGCAAAAGTCATGAAGAAAGCCAACTTTTTTGTGGATCAGAATTTTTTTGGGAGGGGAGGAGGAGCATAAAAAAGTGAGTGCCTGTGTGTGGATGCCAAATATTGGGGAAATGAAATTTTATTGAAATGGCTGGTGATGGTAGTGCTTAAATAATATAGGAATTTGTGCGAACAAATTTTGTTTTTTGGATATTGTATTGGAATATTAGTAAAAATTTTGAATATTAAATGGTTTGTGTTTCAGTTGCAATATGAATAAAATTTCGATTAGGTTTTATAACCTTTGCTATTGGAAGAAATTTAAATAAAGTCATTGGTAGCGTATGATTATTGTCGGTAATCATACGCATAGGTGACTTTGCTTAAAATTGACCCAAAAAATAGAATGAATAAAAAATTAGCAACATAAAACCAGTAAGGAAAGTAGTAAAGTCGGACGGGACCGACTATATGATACCCTTCACCACTTTGGGTATATTCAACAGATGAATCCTAACAGACGTCGCATATTTGAAGAACCAGTATATTTTTCATTTGGTCAGATATAGAGTTGCTTCTTACAATGGGACAAAATTATGTACATCAATTTTAAGCAAATATTAATCGGATTAATCGTTGATTATTTGGATAAATATCTGATAAACATGAGGAGTTTGGTGCACCTACATCTAAATCAGAACCGATTTCAACGAGACTTGCCAGTAATTAATTTATATTAACTAAAAGTCATTGTACAAAATTGTGTGGCAGTCGGACAAACTTTGGGTCTTCAGTACACAATTTACATTAAATCGAACGAAAATATATATGGGAGCTATATCTAAATCTGAACCGATTTTCACGAAACTTATCACACATTATTTTAGGCTTCATTAAGTACGCTGTGACAAATTTCGTACAAATCGAAATATAGATGGCGACGTTAGTGCACCATTAACATTAAATCGGACGAAAATATATATGGGAGCTATATCTAAATCTGAACCGATTTTCACGAAACTTGTCAGACATCACTCTAGGCTTAAGTCAGTACGATATGCCAAATTTCGTGCAAATCGAAAGATATATGGTACACCATTTACATTTAATCGGATGAAAATATATATGGGAGCTATATCTAAATCTGAACCGATTTTCGGGAAACTTAACGCAGATCACTCTAGACACAATTTAGTACGCTATGCCAAATTTCGTGCAAATCGCAAGATATATAGGACCTTTGGTGTACCATTTACCTTAAATCGGATGAAAATATATATGGGAGCTATATCTAAATCTGAATCGATTTTCACGAAACTTAACACACATAATTTCAGACTTAATTCAGTACGCTATGCCAAATTTCGTGCAAATCGAAGTATATATAGGGACTTTGGTGCACTATTTACCTTAAATCGGACGAAAATATATATGGGAGCTATATCTAAATCTGAACCGGTTTTCACGAAATTTAGCACACATCATTCTGGACCTAATTCAGTACCCTATACAAAATTTCATGCAAATCGAAAGATATAAAGAGTCTTTGGTACACCATTTACCTTAAATCGGATGAAAATATATATGGGAGCTATATCTAAATCGGAACCGATTTTCAAGAAACTTTGCACACATCATTCTAGACTTAATTCAGTACGCTATGTCAAATTTCGTGCAAATCGAAAGATATATAGCGACGTTGGTGCAGCATTAACATTAAATCGGACGAAAATATATATGGGAGCTATATCTAAATCTGAACCGATCTTCACGAAACTTTGCACACATCATTCTAGGCTTAATTCAAAACGCTGAGCCAAATTTCGTGCAAATCGAAAGATATATAGGGACTTTGGTACACTATTTACATAAAATCGGATGAATATATATATGGGAGTTATATCTAAATCTGAACCGATTTTTACTAAACTTAGCACACATCATTCGAGGCTTAATTCAGTGCGCCTTGCCAAATTTCGTGCAAATCGAAATATATAAAGGGTCTGTGGTACACCATTTACCTTAAATCGGATGAAAATATATATGGGAGCTATATCTAAATCGGAACCGATTTTCACGAAACTTAGCACACATCATTCGAGGCTTAATTCAGTACGCTGTGCCAAATTTCGTGCCAATCGGAGAAAATTTAAGGTTTTTCGTACACTATTTACCTTAAATCGGACGAAAATATATATGGGAGCTATATCTGAATCAGAACCGATTTTCACGAAATTTAGCACACGCTATGCCAAATTTCGTGCAAATCGAAAGATATACAGGGACTTTGGTGCAAAATTTACATTAAATCGGACTAAAATATATATGGGAGCTATATCTAAATCGGAACCGATTTTCACGAAACTTAACACAGATCACTCTAGACTCAATTCAGTACGCTATGCCAAATTTCGTGCAAATCGAAAGATATATAGGACCTTTGGTACACCATTTACCTTAATTCGGATGAAAATATATATGGGAGCTATATCTAAATCTGAACCGATTTTCAAGAAACTCATCACACAAGATTCTATTCTCAATTCAGTACGCTGTGCCAAATTTCGTGCAAATCGAAAGATATATAGGACCTTTGGTGCACCATTTACCTGAAATCGGAAGAAAAATTATATAGGAGCTGTATTTAAATCAGAACCGATTTCCTCGAAAATTGACACACATCATTCTGGACCTAATTCAGTACCCTATGCAAAATTTCGTGCAAATCGAAAGATATATAGGACCTTTGGTACACCATTTACATTAAATCGGTCGATAATATATATGGGAGCTATATCTAAATCGGAACCGATTTTCACGAATCTAAACACACATCATTCTAGGCTCAATTCAGTACGCTATGCCAAATTTCGTGCAAATCGAAAGATATATTGGACCTTTGGTGCACCATTTACCTTAAATCGGATGAAAATATATATGGGAGCTATATCTAAATTTGAACCCGTTTTCACGAAATTTAGCACACATCATTCTAGACTGAATTTAGTATGCTATGCCAAATTTCGTGTAAATCGAAGGATATATATCTAATGCTAGACTTACAGCCTGTTTTTGTAAAATTCCAAACGAACGAATTCGAGTGACTTACGACCAAACCTTTATTTATGTTTATAAATGTTTTCTGATTCCAAACAAAAATAAATGACATATTTTTCAAAACCAAGGAGTTTGGTCGTAAGTCACTCAAATTCGTTCGTTTGGAATTTTACAAAAACAGGCTGTTAATCCAGTGTGCTATGCCAAACTTCGTGCAAATCGAAGGATATATAGGGACTTTGGTGCACCATTTACATAAAATCGGACGAACATATATATGTGAGCTATATCTAAATCTGAACCGATTTTCACGAAACTTAGCACAAATCATTCTGGACCTAATTCAATCCCCTATACCAAATTTCGTGCAAATTGAAAGATATTTGGAGACTTTGGTGCCCCATTTACCTAAAATCGGACGAAAATATATATGGGATTCAACACACATTAGTTAAGACTTAATTCAGTACCCTATGCCAAATTCCGTGCAAATCGAAAGATATATAGGACCTTTAGTGCACCATATACCTTAAATCGGAAGAAACTACATATGGGAGCTATATCAAATGTTGAACCGATTTTTCCCAATTTCAATAGGGTACGTCCTTAGGCCAAATAAGTGAGCTGTGCCAAATTTCATCCAAATCGGATCATAAATGCGATCTGCACTTTGTTTACAATTTAATATGGATAGACGGACGGACAGACATGCCTTAATCGACTCAGAAAGTAATTCGATGTATATTCTCAAAAGGAACCATGTGTCTATCTCGTTTCCTTTTGCCTTGTACAAACATATGCACAAAGACATAATACCCTGTACCACAGTGTGCTGAAGGGTATAAATAGCTTAAAAAAATCTTGGCCATATCAGGACCCTGAAACTATTATTTGAAAAAATCCTAGGCCATATTTGGACCCTTAAATAATTATTTTAAAGATCCTGGGCCATATTTTGATTCTGAAATAATTGCTTTAAAAATCCTGGGCCCTATTTGGACCCTAAAATAATTATGTTTACAATTCTGGGTCATATTTGCCTGGACCTGAAAAAAATATTTTAATTTAAAGAGCTTCGCCTCTGTCTGGACCTGAAAAAAAAATTTAAAGAGCCTGCCCAATATCCGTGCTTGCACAATATCCTCTGGGTCATAAAAAACTTATGGGGCTATCTCGATTCCTTTTGCCTGTTACAAACATATGCACAAATACATAATACCCCGTACCGCAGTGTGGTGAAGGGTATAAATAGCTTAAACAAATCTTGGCCATATCAGGACCCTGAAACTATTATTTTAAAAGTTCCTAGGCCATATTTGGACCCTAAAATAAGTATTTTAAAAATCATAGTCCATATTTTGATTCTGAAATAATTATTTCAAAAATCCTGGGCCATATTTGGACCCTAAAATAATTATGTTTACAATTCTGGGTCATATTTGGGCCCAGAAATAATTATTTTGAAAATCCTGGGTCATATTTTGAGTCTGAAATAAATATTTGAAAACCCCTGGGCCATATTCGGATACTAAAATAAATATTTTAAATATCCTAGACCATATTTGGCCACCGAAATAATAATGGGCCCCATTTTGAAGCTGTAATAATTATTTTAAAAATCCTGGGCCCAATTTGGATCCTGAAGTAATTATTTTAAAAATTCTGGGCTCTATTTTGAAGCTGTAATAATTATTTTAAATATCCTGGGCCCAATTTGGATCCTAAAGTAATTATTTTAAAAATTCTAGGCCCAATTTGGATCCTGAAGTAATTATTTTAAAAATTCTAGGCCAGATTTTGTTTCTAAAATAGTTAATTTAAAAATTCTAGGCCCTATTTGAACCCTAAAATAATTATTTTTTAAATTCTGGGCCATTAATATCTGGACATGGAAAAAATTATTTTAAATTGCCTGGCCAATGTCTGGACCTGGAAAAAAAAATATTTTAAAGAGCCTCGCCTCTGTCTGGACCTGGAAAAATACTTTTAAAAAGCCTGCCCAGTATCCTGGCTTGAGTCTGGGTCTTAAAAAAACTTATTTTAAAGAGCCTGGCCTATATTTAAAAAAAATCACTTCTTTTTTTGCTGCATAAAAACTATTTTTACTTGAAAAAATATTTTTAAAACATCCTCGCCTATGTGGGCTCCATGAAAAATAATTTTTGAAAACTAACGCCCATTTTTGCTATTTAAAAAAATATTTAAAAAAAATTAAATATGGGTTCCCTGGTGCGTATGATGAACGTCACTACCAATACGCCCCGAGGAACTAGAGGGAGATTGAAGGAACTATTTTTCGATTATTATTTATAATTTTTCTTTCCGAATACCTACCTCTTTGGCCTCGTCCACATTCAGAATGCTGGTGGCATTCGTTTGAAAGGCAAAACACAATAAAACTTGTTCATGGAAACCTAAAGCAAAAAAAAAAAAGAATCAATTTTTGTTCTCAATAAAACATGCAAAAATTTTTTTTGGAAAAAAAATCTATTTACCCAACTGCTGTTTGGCCTCATAGGTCTCTGTCGCCCCAGCATTGCTGGTCGTCTCTATACGATATTCGGTATCATGTTGCGGGGTATGTGTGCCATTGTTATTCGTATTATTATTATTGTTTTCCGCATCACCATTCCTATTCGAATTGATATCGAAATCATGTTGTCCATTCCGATATGGGGATTTTTTGCCATTTATATCCCCAGGTGTTGGAGATTCTGCGGAGCTACAGTTATTGTTATCATTTAGTGTGGACATTTGATATAGTTCAAAAGATTTGCCATTTTCCGTGGCGGAGATTTGCTGCATATTGGCATGATCTACCTTGGTGCCACTTATCACGGAGATATTGGGATGCTGCAGGCGCTGTTCATTCAAATGGGATTGATACCAAGTGGCGGCTACAATCAGGACAATTAGGGTTAAGAGGAAGCTCCTGTAACATGAAAAATATTTTTTATTTGAGATTTGAGAGTTTTCGAGGATTATTCCTAACTTACGCAAATATTTGAAATTTCAATTCCCGCCAATAGCTATACAACCCAGGCACGGTCCTCACTCTCAAAATTTTCACCACCGTCATTTGTGTATTGTTGATTGAGCTCAGCATATTGGCATGTGGATCCAGCTCCATCAGATGTTGTACATCCTGAGCCGTACACGATTTCGGTAAACATTCTCCGATCTGTAAATTTGCCATAAATTTGTCCGGCAATTGCAATTTGAAGGCAATCAGGGCCACATAGAATTCAAATTCGAAATGTTTACGTTTCTCCGGATCCAATTGGCGATTGAGTTCATAGCAGAATTGCCGTTGACCCAACCATTTGTCATTACCAAACAATAGTTGACCTCGATAACGGGCAGAGGCATCATAGGCTGCGCACGCAGGAGGGAGGGTAAGACAAGAAAATAAAATAAAAAAATACAAAGAATTGTATTTCCACTTCATTGATTTTTTGAACACAAAAAAAAGAACTTCCTAATCGAATTATTTGCCTCATTTTCATTAAATGTTGCCCTGTCTGTAGTCGGATTTTTTTGTGGTCTATGTCTCCATTGAAGCGTAATAATGGCCATATTATAAGCCGCAAACTATTAATTGACCATTAAATGTATTGTTTAGATTTGTGTTTTTGCCACTGGAAGTGGTGAAAGGGGGAAGAGGCGGAGAACCTGCTGATTGAAAAGCCATAAGCGACAAATGAAGTGGAAATCATTGTTTGAAATTAAATATTAAAATTGAAAAGTAAAAGTAAAAGCGGGAAGTGGGGAAGAAGAAATTATAAATTAAATTCATTCGATAATAATACTGAAGCGTATGATTGATGACAATAATCATACGCTCAAATAATGGAGCGTATGATAAACTGCGATAATCATACGTCGGAAAAAACTATTTCTAAAAATCCACGCCTACGTAGGCTAGCCGAAAAAAATATTTTAAAAAAATCCACGCCTACGTAGGCTAGCCGAAAAAAATATTTTAAAAAAATCCACGCCTACGTAGGCTAGCCGAAAAAATATTTTTCGATTTTCAGGAAACTTAACAGACATCATTCTATACAAAATTCATTACGCTATACCAAATTTCGTGCAAATCAAAAGATATATAGGGACCTTGGTGCACCACTTACATTAAATCGGACGAAAATATATATGGGAGCTATATCTAAATCCGAACCGATTTTCATGAAACTTAACACACATCATTGTAGACCTAATACATTACGTTGTGGCACATTTCGTGCAAATCGAATACTATATAGGGACTTTGGAGCACCAATTACCTTAAATCGGATGAAGATAAAAATGGGAGCTATATCTAAATCTGAACCGATTTTCACGAAACTTAACACACATCATTCTAGACCTAATTCATTACGCTCTGCCAAATTTCGTGCAAATCAAATAATATATAGGGACATTGGTGCACCATTTACGTAACATCGGACGAAAATATATATGGGAGCTATATCTAAATCTGAACCGATTTTCACGAAACTTAACACACATCATTCTAGGCTTATAGCATTTCGTTGTACCAAATTTCGTCCAAATCGAATTATATATAGGGTCTTTGGTGCACCACTTACATTAAATCGGTCGAAAATATATATGGGAGCTATATCGAAATCTGAACCGATTTTCACGAAACTTAACACACATCATTCTAGACCTAATTCATTACGCTGTGCCAAATTACGTGCAAATCGAAAGATATATAGGGACTTTGGGGCACCAATTACATAAAATCGGCCAAAAATATATATGGAAGCGATATCTAAATCTTAACCGATTTTCAGGAAACTTATGAGACATCATTCTATACCTTATTCATTACGCTGTGCAAAATTTCTTGCAAACCAAAAGATATTAAGGGACTTCGGTACACCAGTTACCTTAAATCGGACGAAAATATATATGAGAGCTATATCTAAATCTGAACCGATTTTCACGAAACTTAACACACATCATTCTACACCTAATTCATTACGCTGTGCCACATTTCGTGCAAATCGAATACTATATAGGGACTTTGTTGCACCATTTCCCTTAAATCGGACGAAAATATATATGGGAGCTATATCGAAATCTGAACCGATTTTCACGAAACTTAACACACATCATTCTAGACCTAATTTATTACGCTGTGCCAAATTTCGTGCAAACCGAAAGATATTAAGGGACTTCGGTACACCATTTACCTTAAATCGGACGAAAATATATATGAGAGCTATATCTAAATCTGAACCGATTTTCGCGAATCTTAGCACACATCATTCTAGACCTTATTCCTTGCGCTGTGCCAAATTTCGGGCAAATCGAAAGATATTCACAGACTTTGGTGCACCATTTACATTAAATCGGACGAAAATATATATGGGAGCTATTTCTAAATCTGAAGCGATTTTCACGAAACTTAGCACACTTCATTCTAAACTCAATTCAGTACGCTTTGCCAAATTTCGTGCAAATCGAGAGATATTTACAGATTTTGGTGCATCATTTCCCTTAAATCGGACGAAAATATATATGTGAGCTATATCTAAATCTAAACCGATTTTTAGGAAACTTAACATACATCCTTCTAGACCTAATTCATTACGCTGTGCCAAATTTCGTGCAAATCGAATGATATATAGGGTCCTTGGTGCACCATTTACATTAACTCCGACGAAATTATATATGGGAGCTATATCTAAATCTGAACCGATTTTCACGAAACTTAGCACACATCATTCTATACCTAATTCATTACGCTGTGCCAAATTTCGTGCAGATCGAAAGATATATAGGGACTTTGGTGCACCATTTACCTAATATCGGACGAAAATATATTTGGGAGCTATATCGAAATCTGAACAGATTTCTCCAAAATTCACCACTCATCATTCTAGGCTTAATTCAGTACGTTATGCAAAATTTTGTGTCAATCGAAAGATATTTACAGGTTTGGCGCACCATTTACATTAAATCGGACGAAAATATATATGGGAGCTATATCTAAATCTGAACCGATTTTTACGAAACTTGGTAAACATCTTTTTAGACCTTATTCATTACGCTGTGCCAAATTTCATGCCAACTGGAAGATATTAAGGGACTTTAATCCACCATTTACCTTGCATCGTACGAAAATATATATGGGAGCTATATAAATCTGAACCGATTTTCAGGAAACTTAATACACATCATTCTGTACCTAATTCATTACGCTGTGCCAAATTTCCTGCAAATCGAATGTTGTTCAGGGTCTTCGGTGCACCATTTATATTAAATCGGACGAAAATATATATGGGAGCTATATCTAAATCTGAACCGATTTTCCCCAATTTTAATAGGGTTCGTCCTTGGGCCAAATAAGTGACCTGTGACAAATTTCATGCAAATCGGATCATTAATGCGACCTGTACTTTGTTTACAATTTAACATCTACAGACGGACGGACAGACAGATGGACATCCATAAATCGACTCAGTAAGGCAACCAGATTTTTTTTTCAAAAATCCACGCCTGAAAAGATATTTAAAAAAATAAAAATAAAAAAAAAACGGAACACTCACCCGACTGCGCCCATCGATAATTGCCATGCAACGCCGTCAAATAGGCCTGCATTTCCAGACCACATCCCGTCGACACCTTATTCCTTATATCCGATGTCTGCCAATAGAAATGGTCATAGAGATTTGTCATGATCTGAAAAACATTTGCCAATTGTAGGCTTTCGGCAGACTGATTATTCCCACCACTCGTATCCACCGGGGTCAAATAGTGATTCAGGCTATTGTGATTATTCAGCTGACCCTTGGGCTGGAGATCATCATGCTTCAATAGTTCTCTTCCCTTTTTGTTCGATTTCATTTTGAAAAGTTTCAAAATATGGGGACTGACAGTTGTTGAACTATATTCTAGGGTGGTGGAGGGCGTCGAAGTCATCTCCAAATTTGTTGTGGGCTTTTCCGTACTAGTTGTGGTAATTATGTCCACCTGCACCGACAAATCATCCTGCAGTGTTTCCGCATCGGGTATCTTAACATCTTCACTGTAGGTTAGCGTAGAGCCCACTTGCAAATTTCCTGCCTCCGTATCTCTGAGCAAAAGTTTTTCCTCCGCACTTAAATCTTTCTTTTTGAAATTTTCATGCTCCAGATCCTCCAAATCTCCCAGATTAAAATCAAATACCACTGGATGTAAATCTGTCTCTTTTAGGGGTCTGGGTTTTTCGTGAGAACTGAGAGGTTTCTCCAATGGCAAATAGGCTTTCTTTTTGCCGACCTTCAATGGCAAAATATCGGGATTTGGTGGCTTATCTTTTTTCGTCGAAAAGCCTTCTTCGTGTACTTCGTGCAGTATGGTAATATTCGGATTGTGTTGATGTTCAAGTTCCGCATTGAGGAGGGTAAGATTTTGTGAAGCGCCCATAGAGATTTGGGTGTAGAGGAAAAGGAGATTTAAAACGAAGGCGAGTGGTTGGATTTTCCACATTTTTAAGGCCAAGGAGGATGAAGGCATTTTTGTTGAATTTTTTGCAAATTTTTTTGTCAAGAATTTTGTTGTTGTTTTTTTGTATTTTTAATAAAAAAAATTTTAGAAATTATTTTTCCATTTTTTGTTAAGTTCGTTGTTAGCTTTGATACTCCAGTGTTTTGTAGGTCATTGCCGGATTTTTTTGTGGGTTTCTTGTCTTAATGTTTCACAATTGCTCGTCAATTCTAAATTGAAATAAAGAAAAAAATATATTTTTTTATTTTTTTATGCATATGGCGCCCAACGTGTGGCCTAATTTTTTTCTGTTCAAAATTTAGTTTTTCATTGCAGGATTTTTTCTGGTAATTTTCACAATTGCACTTCACTTTAAATTCAAATAGGCCCAACGTGGGGCCTAGTTTATTTCGGTTCAGATTTTGTTACTTTTGTTGGTATTTTCTGGCCCCTGACTCTTTTTAAATCACTTCACTCCTTCAATTTCAATTTTATTCCATTTTACTTTAAACCATTTATTTTAAATGGCGCCCAACGTAAGGTCTTTATTTTTTACTGAAGTGATGCCCAACGTGGGGCCTAGTTAATTTCTGGTGAACATTTTACCTTTATGTTTCATTATTGCATTTCACTTGTTAATTTAATTCATATATCCTCAAAAATGTATGATTTTTTTATAGAGGTGGCGCCCAACGTGGGGCCTAATTTATTTCAAATCAAAATTTATTTGTCCAGTAATGGAAAATTAGGTTTATTTTGTATAATTGGAAGCCACTTCTGGATTAAAAAAAAAATTAATAAATAAAAAATGGCGCCCAACGTGGGGCCTAGTTTATTTCGTTTCTGATTTTGTTACGTTTGTTGGTATTTTCAAGCCCCTGACTCTTTTTAAATCACTTCACTCCTACAATTTCAATTTTATTCCATTTTAATTTAAATGGCGCCCAACGTGGGGCCTAGTTAATTTCTGTTAAATATTTTAAATTTATTTTTCATTATTGCATTTCACTTGACCAAATATCATAAAAAATTATGAATTTTTATGTAAGTGGCGCCCAACGTGGGTCCTAATTTATTTTAGTTCACAATTTTGTTGTCCACTAATGGAAAATTGGGTTTATTTTGTATAAATGGAAACCACTTCTGGATTTAAAAAAAAAAAATAAATAAAAAATGGCGCCCAACGTGGGGCCTAGTTTATTTCGTTTCTGATTTTGTTACGTTTGTTGGTATTTTCAAGCCCCTGACTCTTTTTAAATCACTTTACTCCTACAATTTCAATTTTATTCCATTTTACATTAAATGGCGCCCAACGTGGGACCTAGTTAACTTTTGGTCAATATTTTATTTATTATTTTTCATTATTGCAAAAAATTATGAATTTTTATTTAAGTGGCGCCCAACGTGGGACCTAATTTACTTCAGTTTACAATTTTGTTGTCCACTAATGGAAATTTGGCTTTATTTTGGATAATTGGAAGCCACTTCTGGATTAGAAAAAAATTAATAATAAAAAATGGCGCCCAACGTGGGGCCTAGTTTATTTCTGATCTGATTTTGTTACTTTTGTTGGTATTTTCTGGCCCCTGATTCTTTTTAAATCACTTCACTCCTACAATTTCAATTTTATTCCATTTTACTTTAAATGGCGCCCAACGTGGGACCTAGTTAACTTCTGGTCAATATTTTATTTATTATTTTTCATTATTGCATTTCACTTGTAAATTTAATTCAAATATCATCAAAAATTTATGACTTTTTTTTAAGTAGCGCCCAACGTGGGGCCCAATTTATTTCAGTTCAAAATTTTGTTGTCCACTAATAGAAATTTGGCGTTATTTTGGATAACTGCAAGCCACTTCTGCATTTTAAATAAAATCAAAAGAAATTTGTATTATTTATTTTTTTAATGGCGCCCAACGTGGGGCCTAGTTTATTTCTGCTCTGGTTTTGTTATTTTGTTGGCATTTTCTGGCCCTTGACTTTGTTTTTTTTTAATTGCAATTATTTTCACTCCTAAAATTTCAATTTAATTCCATTTTTCTCAAATGGCGCCCAACGTAAGGACTTACTTTTATTTCAAGCAATTAACTATTTTGTTCTTCGAAATTGCTCTCCATCCATAAATCCATTTTAATTTAGTTGCAATTACATGTTGTTGCTCGAAACTTCTCCATAGCCATTATGGTTGTTCGCAACAATGCCATTATGGTTGCAAAACATGACAATTTGTGGTTCTCGAAATTGTTATTATAAAGTTTTTATGTTTTCGGTTCTTTAGTTTTTGTTGTCATTTCAAGCAACTACAACAATAAAACTACAATAATTTGGTCATAAGATACTCTAAAGTAAAGAATTTCAATTTCAAAAAGTTTTTTTTTTCTGGTTTGTGGTCAACGAACAAAAATATTTAACAGATAATTGAATTGTTCGAGTATACGAATGTATGTATGTGGGGCAAAAGGACAAGAAGGGATAGGAAGACAAAACAATTAAGTCAGAGAATCGAGGTGGGTGGACAGGAAAGATCAAGAAATACAGGCCTACTGTAATACTCATATTTTTTAAACATCCACGCCTATGAAGGCTTCCCAAAAAAAAAAAAAAAAAAAAAAAAATTTAAATCCACGCCTATGAAGGCGTGGAGCAGAGCTGAATGCTAACGGACACGTCCACAGGTTACGGATAGTGGGATCCCCATATTATTCATTGGATACCTGTGAATAACAAATAAACAGTCGCGGACAATCAGCGGGCTCAGGGCGAAAGTCTCGCAGGAAATGCCTATGATCCCTGAGCAGAATGGCGCCCCTAAATGTCATGTCAAAGGTTTGGGTTACTACCTTTCAAAGTGACCCCCCTAACGATGGGGTGTCATGCGACCTCGTGTCCATCAGCGTTTTAAGGTTTGCAGACAGGTTCCCGACTGTATTAGAACGGAGCCTCGTTGATAACTGGGCGCTTCAACAAGCTTATTCAGGCTTAGCTGCTAAGTCCTTGCAATGATAAGAGGCTATGCCATGGTCGACCTCAATCCCTCACATACAGCACCTTCTATGGAGCCGAATTGTAATACCACCCTAAGTCTCGAACTCTACAAGGTCAGATCTCAATGAACCGCCGCCAAGTGTTGACGACCCAGGCTACCTGCACCTCTCTTTTGCCTCGTGCCCCACTCTCGACGACGAAAACGAAAGCCTGGAGAAGCAGTCGTATATTCTCCTCAACTTAATAGGGGAAACCTGCTCTTTCCGCCTTCCGTCAGGAGAGCATCCCGAATCAGCTCTGGGATGACTCACCCTTGTCAGACGAGGAAGACATCATGGAAACTACAGTGATTAGCACTACGGTGACAAACACGGTAGCGATCATGGTGTCTCCTCCGAAGCAAGGAGAGTCCTCCCAGTTGCTGACTAGGGAAGTAAACCATTGCGAGGTTGAGGATCTGCACTCAATCTCAATACTTATCGTCGATAAGATGATGGATGATTCATCAGTACCAGTAACTGCTATTCAAGTCGATGCCAAGGAGATTGCTGCCAAGAAGATGTACCGGAGAGCAGTTAACTACTGTAACCGATTCATCGGACGGGACAACGACTCCATCACGGGAAAGGAGTTAATTTTAAATACTGATGAGACTCCCTGGTACTGATGAGACTCCTGTCGATAAAATGTATGGAGACTCCCGTCGATAAGATGATGGATGATTCAACAGTACCAGTAACTGTTAGGCAAGTCGATGCCAAGGAGATCGCTGCCAAGAAGATGTACCGGAGAGCAGTTAACTACTGTAATCGATTCATCGGACGGGACAGTGACTCCATCACGGGAAAGCAGTTCCTTTTAATCACTGATGAGACTCTCGATGAAACTCCCTGGTACTGATGAGAGTCCCGTCGATAAGATGATGGATTATTCATCAATGATGAGACTCCCGTCGATAAGATGATGGATGATTCGTCAGTACCAGTAACTGTTGGGCAAGACGATGCCAAGAGAAGGAAAGCAGTTAACTACTGTAATCGATTCATCGGACGGGACAGCGACTCCATCACGGGAAAGATGTTCCTTTTTTGATCAAGAGGAACCTCAAATTCATCCAGAGGGACTTCTTGATTGAAAGGATCCCCCCGACCCATTTCGAAGACCACCACGGTAGTCCCTTCAAAGAAGGAGAAACCTGTCGGAGGTTCTATTACACCTAGGAAGCTTATGCCTGAAACTTCTAAGCCTTCAGCACCCCCCAAGGGTACTGAGTACTGAGACGTCCCAGACACCAGCATCCACAAAAAGACGGAAGGTAGGGGACTGTCGAAGTCGGCACGAAGAAGAGCCTGTAAAAAGGCCTCCAAGAAGACCGATATGGCACAACCACCCTTTGTCAATCCACCCTCTGTCGAATTGCCAAAGCCGATACCCAAGGCTGTGACAATTAGGCAGGTGCTAGTGGATGCGCCGAAGCTAGCGAGCGCAAAGCAGTTGCCTGCGTCGGTTGGCCCTACCTCTGCGGCGGTTGCAACCCCGAGTGTCAAATCTCGGCCACAGCCCACAGCTGTAAAGAAGGAGAAACCTGTCAGAGGTTCTATTACACCTAGGAAGCTGATGCCTGAGACTTCTAAGCCCACAGCAACCCCTCCAAGGGTAAACTGAGTACTGAGACGTCCCAGACACCAGCATGCACAAAGACGGAAGGTAGGGGACTGTCGAAGTCGGTACGAAGGAGAGCCCGTAGAGCCTCCAAGAAGACTGATAAGGCAAAACACCCTCTGTCGAATTGCCAAAGCCGATACCCTCAAGGCTGTGACAATTGGGCATTTCCTAGTGGATGCGCCGAAGGTAGCGAGCGCGAAGCAGGTGCATGTGTCGGATGGGGCTATCTCTGCAGCGGTTGCAATCCCGAGTGTCAAATCTTGGCCACAGCCCATAGCTGTCAAAAGAATGAGGTCCTCGGAGGAACAATAACCTGCTGCAAAGAGATCCACGCAATCGTCAGCTGCACAAAGCTCGGTCTTAGCGTAACCTACAAC